GGCCCTGATGAGGGCTTAAAAAGCAGAGGCAAAGGGAACTAGCTAAGGAGGAAGAACTGAGACTAAAAGATCAGACTAAAGGCATGCCAGTTATCTGGCACAACTGGTTGGGAAAGAAAAAGGAAAGAAGAATACACTGAAAAAAGTCTTACAAGAGGTTTCAGCACCAAACCTAAAAAACAAATGAATGCACACAAATTAGGTCGGGAGGAGAGAGTGAGACTGAAAAAAACAAACTCAGGGCGGGCCAGTTATCTGCCACAACTGGTTCGGGTAGAACAAGGAAAGAAGAATACAATAGTCTTCTAAGAAGTTTTGGCACCAAACCTGAAAAGCAATTGAAGCCACAAAATGTTGGCAGCACACCTTACTTTGTGAAGCATGAATGGTGACAATGTGTTATTCATGTTCCAAATGATACAACTCAACACCAAAATATTAGCATTTCACAATGTAACTTAAACATTTCATTCGAGATGACTGTCTGATTGTTTCATTACAGTGATTTAATTATCAATTAATACAATTGCTCAATTACATAATGAAAAAGAACAAAGACCAAAGTCTAAAAAATATTTAATATGCAACTTACAAACAGATTACGCAAACATGATACACTTTCTTGGTCACCTTCCTGGTCTATATGCATGGTTACTCAGTGAGGGCAAAAGGTAAAAGTGGAAAAGTGTCTCTGTGCACCCACTAAATAATGTCCACAGTTTACACCAGTAAAGATACAGGGAAGCATCTCAACACAGTTCACACATTATTCCTCAATGGCTGAAGGGAAAGCTGCAGCAGAGGTCCGGCAAACACACGCTGTGAAATAGAGCTACAGATCAAAAATAACTTATGTGGTGTCTACAAACATCCTGAGTGAAAAAAGATCAGTGCATCATGGAAAGCCCCCACTGAATCATAACTAAGGAAAGATTCACGGTCACCTGATCTAGCCCAATACCCATAGCCACTAAATGTTCTGTCAAAAAGAAAGGTTTTACACCTAATCTTAAAAGTAGAGAGTCTGAGTCCCAAATCTAAACTAGGAGCTGGTTTCACAGAACCTGTGCCTGAGTGCTGAAGGCTCTGCCTCCCATTGTACTACTATCCTAGGAACCACAAGTAAACCAGCAGTCTGACAGCAAAGTGCTCTACTGGGATCTTACAGTGCTATGGGGTTACTGAGATAAGATGGGGCCTGATTATCCAAGATCTTGTATGTATGAGGAAAAGAACTTTGAATTTGATTCTGGATTTAAAAGGAAGCCAACAAAGAGAATCCAGTATGGGAGAAATAATATCAGAGATATGGAAGAAAACAGTTCTACACATTTGTTTAATATACACATTGACGGACATATCCTGGTCAAAACTGACTCCAAGATTCCTCACAGTGTTACTAGAGACCAAAATAATCCCATCAAGAAAAAACATCAGGTTATAAACCACATGGCTAAGTACAATAGATAGTTGTATCTGAATTTAGAAGCAGGAAATTAGAGGTCATACAGGTTTTTACGTCTTTAAGAGATTCCTGCTGTTTAATGAGTCATTGTGTGTTATTTGGTTCATGGATAGATAAGTTAAATGACACTTTGTGAGGAGAAACAATGCGATGAGAACAAATGAGAACAAGCAGACACTTTATAAGTCAAAACATCACCCCTGCATTATCAGAACAGTTTGAACTTTTGCTCTATTTCAGATAAATAAAGTGTACTAAATCTGAATCACTGATTTGTGTCATGTCAGAAAGAATGAAGTAGTGCTGGCGCAGCCTTCCAACATCTTGCTAGCTCTCACTTATATGTTAAAGCTAGTTACCAGCTGCGAGCAAAACTTGGAACCCAAAGCATTAGCAATAGGTCTCCTTACTGTCACAGGGCTGGGTCTCTGACGCAATGTTTTCTGTATCTTTTTTCCTCTTTTGTCATTTTTAGGAGATAATGTTGATTTAGGATTATTGATTTGTTTACCTTGGGTTTATACAGTTCTCACGGCATTGTTGGTAGCACCTGTGTCCAATAAATGCCAGTAAAAATCAAAAACACATTGTGTCTGTTTTTCAACTTGGAGGGAGTTACAATACCTATTTTAATTAACAACACATTTAATTCATTATTTAAATTATGTATTTATTTAAGTCATTTTGGCACTTTGTGCATTC